AGGTCACTCACCTTGACCTCTTGTCCCACCACGGTCTTTTGCCAGTGAGCACTCACTGAATGAGGGGCGGAAATGAGCTACTAGAGCGGCCTCAAGAGAGATTTGAACAGCAGGAATCTAGACTTCAAAGGAAGAGACTGATTTGAAATCTTTTCCCTAAAATATTTTTGGCGTGGGTAGATTGGGACGCATCAGTGCATAAGTGCACAGATGACTTGGATCATCATCGAGGTGCGCAGCTATATGCCAGGCGCTAGACTGGGCATAAGAGAGACATTTACATGGTGTCGGACGTAAGAGGCAGATAGATAAGCATGTAATGCAATGTATTCCACTCACAGTGACAGGTAACGGTCCCAGGGTAATAGACTCGGCATGTTTCGGGCTTGTTTTTCGCGTGTGGCGTGAGACAAAGTATTGTAACTGTTGCATAGGACCTGTGACACAAAGTGCTGCATGTAACAGGAAAAATCAAAATAAATTTTGAAACAGATGGGAGACTAAATTAGGTTTGGAGGAGGACAGATGTGCAAATGATGTCTTTTTTTCCCCAGTAATCATTTCTGCCCTCAGTTTTAATAACCTGGTAGAGATCATTTTGTCAGAAAATGACTCTAATTGCTAACATTTCTGAGGCCCTACTATGTTTTGTGCACTGTGCATGGAAAACCTTACTGAACCTAATAAAACCCCACAGTTAGGTACAGGAAATGATACATGCTTTATAGGTGAGTACAGTGTGATTTAGACCGACTAAAGGGCATTTCTGAGGCCATACCACCTGTGTGGGTTGAAATCTAGGTTTGCTGGACTTCAGACCCCAAGCTCTTAACTATTGCATGATACTGCCTCTCTAGCAAAGAGCGAGCAAGAGACGTGGTTCTAGTTTTCACACAGTGAAAGTGGAGAGTGGCTTTATAAATAATAGTAACTGCAAATAATCTTAAACATTGGGGGTGGGGGGGTTCCCAAAGCTTCAAAGGTGATTATGTGTTCCCCCAAATAATCTTTAAAGAGCTAATTACTGTGTATGTACATCTTCAAATGTCATAATAATTATGCATGTTGGAATTAATTAATAGCCAGCGGCATGCTAGTAAATGTGTAACAATTGATTCTACAGGGAGAAAAGGCACCCTTGATTTTCAGTTTTTGCCTATTTCCATGGTGTTAATATTTTCACCTTGGTTGATTTCAAGCTACCAATGTGGCATCACTGAACTCAACATTGAAAAAGGGTTAAACACAATCAGCTCTCATGAGCTGGTGCGAGCAGCTCTAGTGTACAACTGCCCAGACCAAGGCAAAAAGTATACTGAAAAGAAGTTGTTTTTTCCCCTTAGTTAATTTAAATTTATTCTAAAACTTACCAAAGAAAGCCTATGAAGGTCATTTAGAAAAACTGAGCTAGGAAACTTTAAACACTGTTTTTGTCTTTTTAATATGCCAGTTTTCTTAAAAATTAAATGAATGGCATTTCTATGTGATTGCTGACTGAATTAAAAGCAAATCAGTTTAGAAAAAGGAGTAAAGATTACTGATACTGGATACTTATCGTGGGACACTACAACACAAAGGACCATGTCTCACCTAAAGAAGTTCTGGCTGGAACAGCATCCTTATTGATCCAGAAAGACACCCAGGAGAGGACGACGATGAGTGTGCAGGGGATGTAGGTCTGGATGGTGAAGTATCCCATTCTTCTGCTCAGGTCAAAATAGACGGTCATGACCACGTAATCTCCTGGAACAGAACAAAGACAGACCATGAAAACCTTCAACAAAACCGGAAAGCACTGTAAACAAGCATATATACAACTCCCACGTGCACTTGCAAGCTTTAACCCACTTGCAACTAAAAACAAAAAAAACAACAAAAAGCAACCACCCAAACTACCGCCTTCTGATCCTTTTACAAACAATGTGACTACTAGATGGAAGGAAACATTTTTGAACAGATTGCTCATATTTTCTTCTTTCGGGTGACGTTTGACAGCACCTCCTCTGCACGCTTAATACACACAATGTGAACCGTTGTGCTTAGTGGAGAGGCAGGGTGTGCTTCGACACTGTGCCTCTTGCCTGTGGTGAATCCTAAGGTTTGTAACAATTTCCTCTTGTTCTCAAGACCTTTCTCCAGACAAACCAAGGAGGCATATCGTGGTGCTTGGCACTAATGCATGACTATTCTACTCAGTTTATAACCAAATCCCTATGCTGCCGCACACATTTCTCATGTTTTCATTGAATTATGTGATTTTCCTTCATGGCAGTTACTTCAATTCGTAATTTATCATTCGGTTGTGTGGTTATTTTTGTACCATCTGTCTCACCTGTTACGCTTCATCTGCATGAGTCCACACACTGTGCCTCCTGTAGCCCACCGTTGCACCCCCGGTGCTTAAGCTTGATTCCAAATCAGCATTAACATTTGTTGAATAAATGCTTACGTGAATGAATACATTTATATATTTAAATACAGAGAAAACAACAAACAAAAAAAACCCCAAGAAGTTGTATTCTAGAACATTTGGATTAAAAAGGAAAGTTTATGTAAGTAATCCAGAGAGTAATCAAAGAATTCAAGAATAACCATATAACTATGGAAGAGAACAGTTTAATGTGTCATACTCCCAAGTCTCTGATTTAAGATCATGATGTATGGATGGTTTTTAAAATTCCCTGTCCTTCATTTTAGATGATTGCAAGTGAAATTTTAATTTTCGAAGTTAGAAAATACACTGTGGAGACATACCCCAGTTACTATGGATGTACGTGTCTTTGTAGTACTGTTAGAGAACGTCAGTTTCAAAGGCTGTGCTGCTCTCCTAAAGTCAGATGAAACACAAGACCACTTTTCCATTGTTGCTTCTTTTTTCTTTACCAAAGGTGTGATTTGTCCTAAAATGCATGGGCAATGAAATCCAAATCATGTGTTTTAGTTGAATTACTTGGCTTCATGTCTGTGTTTCTCCACTTACTTAGAGAATTTGGGTCTGAGTTGAAAAGAAGGTCCTTTGGAAGCCTCAGGTGGAGAAGGTTGACTTCGCTGGGGGAGTTATTACCACCCAGTCCACTTCTCCCTTCTCACTCTGAAGCTTCACTCCACAACCTTCTAAGCTGCTGCGACAGAAAACCTGTCACTGGGAACTCTTCCAGGGAGTAAGGACTCTCCCCAAACCCTGCAGTGTTTCCTAAGTGGAGTCATGACCACCTCCTAGCACTGCCCTTGGGCGGACTGATGTGCTATTACTCGTGTGCGTCAGGCCTGCTTAAGAGTGACCCAGACACTAATCAGGGAATTAAGCTCCCAGTGGAGCATCAGTTCCATCTCAGAGAGCAATAATTAGCAATTATTTAGCAATTATCCTTGAAAAGGTACACGAAGGAATTTTCTTATTGATGATCATTAGATTTTGATTATTTCCCTGAGATTACACTTCTCTGTGTTGGTTTATCTGGATTTAAGCTATTTCAAGTCAAGTCACAGCATTTCAGAAATTAATTTGGTCTCTGCTTTTGTTCTAATTGAGAAGATAATAGACTCAGGCTGTGATTGAGGAATAAAGCCATGTAATTGGAGATGATCGCTATTAGTGTCTGTCTATGTCTTTCTCGTTTCTTTGATCACTGTACCAGAGGCAAGGGAAGAAGGGTTTTCTTTTTAAATAATCATCTTCAGGAGCACTTTTTTCTCCCTGTTTTCCGAGTCCTTGAGAATTCTCTGCATATTTTAAACATGGGTTTAAGTGAATTATAATATCTTAAACAACCCTGGACAATTTCAGTAGCTCCCTTTTACTGTTTATCATCTAAGTGAATGGGAATCTGCACTTTGGCATTAATGATGTGACTCTTTTAAAGGTGAACTTTAATTTTGCCTCAAGTTGACAGATAATTATCTCATTTCAATTCTCTCATTCCCTTTAGGTCAGAATCTAAACTTCCACAGCCCATTTATCTATCAGTTTCTATTTTAAGGTAATAGCTTCTGAGCATCTTTCATCTTTGCCAGCAAATCCACAGCTTTTCTATCACTAGATTATGGATTCAAACTCAGGAACAGGCCATTTAAAAGCAAAGCAGCTTCACAGTGACAGCCTGGTGCCTGTCTTATCTCTGAGGCCACATCACTTTTTGTATTTCTAAAAGCTCTTGGGCTGAGGAGCCTATAAAAATCAAATCCCCTGAAAGTGCTGCATCAGTGATTTCCCCAAAGCCCGAATGGTCTAAATGCCAACCAAGTCAAAGGGGGTTATTTCAGCCACTTCAGATTTATTCTCTCTACTGATTCATCCTAACACACAATATTTAAAGTCATAGCATTTCATAAAGTAGTTTCCCTGTTTTTGCCCTAATTTAGATGTAATACGCACAAGCAATGATTGAGGACAGAAGATGTATATAATTTGAATAACACCCATTAATGACCATTCCTTGTTTTTTGTAAGATTTGCATGTCTAGTTTTAGGAAGAGACCACCAACATCAGTGAATAATGAACTTCAGTTACTATTGTTTTAGTTGTTGAGGTTAACCATTTGAAAGCTTTAAAATTCAGATGTGCTGGAGTGTTTAGGCTCGTATTTTCATACATGAGATTATCTCCTCTTAAAAGTTTAAAGATTCTACGGACATCTTCCCCTCCATTGAATGCCCGCAATTTAAAAACAAAAACAAAAAACCAGCTATTCTCTAGTTACATGCACACGCTGGGCTGAATGGCGTGCATATATTATCCTTAAACTTCCTAAACACTTTGTCAGGATGGTCAGAAAACTAAGCCTTCACTGTGTCCCTGTCCCAGGATTCCTGTGCCGCTTCAGTATAGCTGAAGAGAGTACACAGTATTCTAGTAGGGTAACTTTGAGGCGTAATTAGTGTTAATATACTCTACATTTCTTTCTCTAGTCTCTTTTTTATTGCCAACAAATAATTTTAACGATTGTTATGCACAGAGTACTATGTTAGGTAACGTGGAGATTAAGACCTATGGAATCTCACACTTGATTTTTATTATATATA